ATTTTATCGATTGTCCAGTCATTCCAGTTATTTTTCCATGAAGTTATCAGCGCTTCCTTCAAAACTAAACTGTAAATTCACTTTTCTATTTTTGTTGGTCGTGTGTCTTTAACAAATTACGTGACGGAAATTCTTGTCTTAACTTTGAATTTATAATTAAAAACTGCAATTGAACAACAGCTGTAAAAACCTTAGCTTTTCTGTGGATTAACTTTCTGCTGCTTATGTGGATAAATTCGATCGGGCAAAGTGTAAAAGTGAAAAAAGGACAATCGATTTTCAGGTACTTAATGTAGTAGCTTTGCTGCTTTCCCATCTTTTTGTAGTTAATTATTTTATCCCTCTTTCGGTAAAAATCTTTTATTTGTTCTGTGTATCGCAAAATAACTTCCTTGCTGCTGCAGATGTCGATCCGGTTGATGATGTTGTGTTTGTTTTGTATCTTAACCGAATGTTTATTCTACAATATTTATTTCTGAAAGGTATAGTTTGTTGTACAATTCGTTTCATTTTCTCAACCATGCATTTGCTGCGACGTGGTTTCAAAAGAAAGGATAATGAAATGATTGCAACATGGTACTTCTGTAAAACTGATCAGAATTTAATTTTTCTCCATGAACATTACCATAATGTTGCGTAAATTACTGACGAGAAACAAGAACGACAATCAATTCGTTAAAATCTTCAAATGCTCAGATACACATGGAGATGTAGTGGTAAGATCGTAGGACTCAGGAAAAACTACATGAGACTGTCTTCTTTGTATTGATGTTTTACATTTAAACATTAAGTAAAAAGGCGGCGAACAATCGATAAGACGCGAAATGTAAAGGTTTGATAGTGGGATTTTTTTTCCTCTCTGTGAGCCAAGAGTTGGGATATTATCAACTTTTTCAGTGTTAGATTTCGATAGAACAACCTGGGTTACGCTTGGCACCCAATGAGGAATTTTAAAACTATTTAAAAACACGTGGTTTGCTACAAATAAGAACATAGGAAAAGTAAATGATAATGATAATGGTTATGATAATTATTCAAATTCAATCCACCGTTGTTCCCCTCTTTTGTTTTGTTGAGGGGGTATTCACCTATGTACAAAATTATTTTCAACCAAACGAAAATATCATTTATTTTTTAGATATGTTCAAAAATATAAAAAGAACTAAGTTTGTGTGTCATTGATGGAATCATCTATATTTATAAATTGAGTTCTGATGTTAACTAATGAAAAGCTCGGCTGCTGAATAATAGTCACCTTTCGATATGGTCATTAGGTATCAAATTTGTGTTTAAAAGTCTTCATTTTTCTGCAGCATTTCATCAATTGTACAGTTATTCCAGTTATTTTTTCATGTGATAATTAGCGCTTCCTTCCAAGCCAAAGTAAATTTTCTTTTTTATTTTAGTTGGACGCGTNAAAAAAAAACCTATACAACTCAGTTTGTTGAGTGTTCCAAAATTTCTAAATGCAACACTACATTTCCTGTTCAGAAGCTGCAAAACACCAGGCGGAAAGTGAGAAGCAGTTTATTTGCGATGACATCATCTCCATTATAAATATACTCGAGAACTTGTAAAAACCGGATTGTTCTCAAATCTAATTTTAATTTTAATTCTGAATGCAAAACGAGACAAAATTAAACACGCTAACTTTACTTCTACAGAAAGCAGACTTAAAACACGTGATGATGATAACTTCAGTGGCTAAGTGGAGTTTCATCCTCTTTTTCTGTAAGAACCACAGCTAAACACGACTGTTGTCTACAGTATAAGCTATTATGATAAGCATTATGATTTGTTGTCTAATGAGAGGGAACGGAGCCCCATGGGTAGCCGTCGTGGGAGGGAAGGAGGGGTAACTTGTTTGGAGAGGTCAGAGAAAGGGCGAGCAAAATAAGGAAAAGAGGAAAGGAAGAGAGGTAGTGGCGCGGAGTTGGGACTCAAGGGTATGCTATTTAATTGTTATGGTATGTTCATTAATGAACCACTTTCCTTTATCCTCTAAACACTTCACTTAAGGAAAACTTACTTGTAAACAAAAATAATTCGGAAGTTTCATAGTTGGAGAGGGAAGCTCAGTTTTGCAGAAACTAGCTGGATCTTAGTCAGATTATCGAACTCAAGCCCTGAAAGAGGAATTCTTTTCGGCGTTTGGGTAAATGCTTTAAGGGTTGACCAACTTGTGAATTTTATTCAACTTTTGTCCTGTATTAAATATTTAAGTTGTACGGTTACCCTCGCAGTATGTTTGGTAATGGTACGATCCTCAATCTGCTGTTAATGTTTGGAATCGTCAGGGCATATGGGGGAGGTTCTTTTCCTGCTCGTTTGCGTACGCATGTAGTGGACTGTGCAGAATACTGCAACATAACATCTTTTCGATAGAGTGGGGTCTAACTAGTGGTTTTAGAGTGCTTGTACAGAGAAGACCTTAGGACTAACATGGCGGAACTTGACATGTGGACCTCCTCTTTAGAATTTCTCTTTCTCTTAGTCGATATCATTTAAAGTTTATTTATGGTATCTATCACTTTTTTGTTGTTGTTGTAAATAGAGAAATTTACTTGTCGCATTTGTTACAGTTTTGTTGAAGTATCCTCAACAAGCACAAGGATGGAAAAGCGTCCCCTGGTTTGGGAGTTCAAAAGTTCTTTCAGTTCCAAAAGGAAAATACTTGGAACTAAACTTTACCATACACAGCTGGTCAGGGTTTGAAACACCTTGTGTTCGGGGTTATTATCTTGAGATCCATGATGGCATTAATCAGTCTGCCAATGTTCTTGGAATGTTCTGTGGAGATCACAAAACCGCTGTAGTGCGATCCAGAGGACGATACATATGGTTAAGATTTTTCCCCGCTAGGAGGTTTGGTTTTAGAGCATACTACAGGGCAAGATCCTTCAATCAAACAGGTCTGATGTTCTTTTGCTAATTTTCTGTATAAGGCACACGGTTAAAAGCTTTAGATTCAACTGGAACGTCACAATATAGATCAAATTATATTCAGGAAATGCAACCGGCGATGGCCTAGAAGGATATGGCAGTATCTATTAGCTTATCAAGTGGCTTTATATTCACGATTAAGTTCAGATGCAACGCGCGTTGGTGGAAAAAGTGTGCTCTTTCTGTGATTAAAACACGGAGCCGGAGCAAAAGCTGTCTCGCCATCTGCCAATTTGTATAGAGCGTTTTCACATGACGTCACATTTTTCGCG